GCTAGTGACGAGTTCGTAGAGTCGAACTCGTCTCGAGTTCAATAAGAATAAATAAATCGATGCTTAAGTAAGCATTACGCTTCCAACTGGTTCAATTAATCACAAAGTACGACTTATCTAATAATTATGAATAAACTAATTAATCCACTCTTCTAATTAATCAGTGTAGCCACTACTTGTGGAGCTAGGTCAATTTATGCCAATAGGATATTCTATGCTGAGTAATTTTTTTATTATGTAATGAATAATTAGTAAAATGGATTATATGATGAAAATAAAATACAATTGGAAGTAATTATAAAATAAGGGATATCGCATAAAATTTGATTATTTTTTATATTCGTATGGGGTATTTTTGAAGAACAAGGGAGATACGATCTCATGATAAATTGGCTAACTATTGGATCGAGCTGGATTTGAACCGACGTAGACATATTGTCACGAATTCACAGTCCGTCCCTGTCGCTCGGACATCGCCCCAATAAGAATCAATTTAATGCTTATTGTCAATCCATGATCTATCAACTTCCTATCATAGTACCCTACCTCTAGGGGAATTCGAATCATCGTTGCCTCGTTGAAAGATAGATGTTATCAATCATTAGACGACGCCGACCAACTTGCTGTGCTCAACCGCCTTCACACTTGTGCGGTAATTTTCACGATCGAATAGTATACTAGCTTGCAAATAATTTTAAATGTTTAAATTATACTGGACAAGGACAAGTTACGTGCGATACCATTGTACAAAGTGTTGACAAATGAATAGAAATTGAATTTTTAAACGATTTTTAATAGCTATTAGAATAATTTTGTTAGATAAATTATATGAGGGGGGCAAAATTGCTTATTTTCATGCCACTAAATTGGATCTATCCACATAGATCAGCACACCACAATATTCCGACCAAATATCTTTGTCTTTTAATTAATTTTTTTTTTAAATAATGTCCTTGATGAGATTTATACGCCTTAAATATTAGGGTAAATTATACATACACCCCTGAGATATCTTAAATTAACCTTAAGGTCCATGTAGTATTCATAATTACAGCTACACCCCTGAAACAATTACGGAAACCAAGATTTGATGTCCTGGAGGCTAATATGCACTATATTTGTTACCCGCGGGGCCGTTAATACTACCATAGACTAAAATTTATAAATCTTATAATTAAAGGATTAAGAAATGTTAGGAGATCCATGTCACCCCTACCTCTATGTTATTTCCACCACCGTCTGAAACCAATAGTCCATTAGAACTCTAATGGAATAATTTATGCCGTTAGGGTTTCTACCAGGTGATTGTAATTATCAATACTATAGAGACCTTAAATTTATTTTAGCATACCTTAGGGGTTTACGTGTAATTTACCCTAAATATTATATATATATTAGGAATAATTAATTAAATAATTAATTCAAAGGACATAATTATTAATAATTTCACCATTAGCCCCCCGCTTACCCCACCCAAGTCCAAAAAGGCAAAAACCCTTTTCTTTCTTTCTCTCTCTCTCTACAATATCTCTCTCTCTCTCTGTTTGATGATTTTTTTCTCTCTCTAGAAACACTCACAAAAAGTGTGGAGCAGAAGAAGAAAGAAGAAGACAAAGCTATCAGGCCTCTGCGTTGGTATTGTCGTCACATCTGCCAAATTCTCACACACAAACACGCACACGCACGCACGATAACAAACAAAAATCTCTCTCCCCCGGCCCCTCTCCCATTAAAATTCATCGCCTCCGGATTTTCGCCAATACTCCCCCAATTGAAGAAATCTGATTCAAATCAGATACATCAATATATACATACATATATATAGATACAGGATTTGTGTTGGTGTTTTGTTTTGTGGCTGTTATAAGTAGAATAATGAGGTGCAGGAAACACCCCGCCGACCACAGCAGCAGCGTCGGCGTCTGCGCCTCCTGTCTCCGGGAGCGCCTCCTCGCTACAATGGCGGCGCAGCTGGATTTCCGGAAATCGGACGCCCAGCAACCGCCGCCGCCGCCGCTTTCGTTTCCCCGTTCAGTATCCCCTTATATTACCCGGCGGAAGTCGGACACCAACACCGATGCGTGGGGGCGACAACAGCATCAGCGCTTCTACAGTACTCCCCAGGTGGGGCCCACCGGCGGTTCCGCGGCGGTTGAATCGAAGAAGAGTAGGAGGAGCAAGGGTGGGAGATTTTCGTCTCTGTTTTTCGGTCTTTTCAGATCGAAATCGGACAAATTGGATCCGAAATCCGGCCCGATTTTGGATCCAGGGGTTTCGATCGATTCCTGCTCGGCCTCTCCGTCGTGGTTTTCCACCATCGTCCCCGGCCGCCGGAAAAAGCAGATTCGGACGTTTTCTCTCGACGAAAACCTGATCAGAGCCCAGCGGAACGCTCGCCGGAATCGAGACCGCGGAATGTCGCCGGCGAGATTCTCCGACGGAGAGGACGACGAGCATTGCCACGGCGGATCGAGTGGCTACTCGTCGGAATCGTCCCAAGGGTGGAGACAGACCCCGCGGAGGACGCCGGCCACGGCGCGGCGGGGTGGGGGAAAGGCTGGCGGGCTCAGCAGGAACATATCGGGCCTGACATTTTGCCTGAGTCCCTTGGTTCGGGCCAGCCCGAACCGTAACTGGAATCAGAAAGGAATGCCGCCGGAGGCAGCTGCCGGCGAATCTAGGGTTCAGGCGAAAGCACACCTCTCCACAACGTCGTCGTTTTACAAGAACAGGTCCCGAAAGCTCGCCGATTACAGTAGGCACTACTACAATAACAACAACCATTGACTCATGGCGGCGACCGTTGACTTCTGACACGCCGATCATCCCATCCCATCCCGTCACACTATTTACGGTTTTGCCCCCATCCTTCTATTTCCTCATTCTATGTACATTTTTGCCCCCACAGTTTTCTTATATTTACTAGAAAAAAGATGAAAAGAAAAAAAACATAAATACACAAAATAATTAATTAATACGGTCGTGTGAAATTACACTAGTGCCCCTGTAAGGCTATAGTGGATGGTGTAGTGGGGATGGCGCATTTGCCCCCCATTAGCGTTCCACTTTTGATTGGTTTGAACTTTGAATTAGGTGGACTTTTGATTGAGTTTGGATTACACTAACTTGATTTTTAGGGTTTGACTATTTTTGATTGAGTGAAATAATTGTGTCTTCTCTGTTTTATTTATTTATTTATTTATATTTGTACCTATCTATTTGATTTAAAAACTTAAAAAAAAAAAAACAAACGAAAAATGTGGCAAATGTATAATTGGAGATTAGTGGATAGTGGTACATAGTCTATGGACAAGAAATTGGCTTGATTTGTTTAGATGGTTCAAGAAGGTTTTTAGTGCAACTAAACAATTGAACAAAGTCAAGGTGTCTTGTGTTTTATTTATTTATTTATTTAATTAATTATGTATTAGTGTACCTATCAATTTGATTAAAAATGAAATAATGTGGCAATGTAGAATAGAGATTAGTGGGGCACTAGTACATAATAGTTTACGGACAAGAAATTGGCTTTTGAAGTGGTATTTGATTTTGTTTAGATTTCAAGGAGGTTTTTTTTTAAGTGTAACTAAACAATTGAATAAAGTCAAGGTGTCGGTTATACTACACTAAGTGGAGCGCAACCCTCTCATATTCAATGTTTTTCACAATAAGAGTTGGGTGTGCGGGGTCATAAACCTGCAGGTTCTAGCAAAACTCACTTTCGTTTCCGTTAAATAACAGTTCTTGATTTCAAGGAGTCAAACTATGGATTTTTAACAGGTTCGGTTAGGCGGGTCTATGGCGGAATATAGGTCGAAACTCATTTTAATTTAAACATGTTTTTTTTTTAATAATAATTTATAAATTTTACGGGAAAATATTTAAAAATTAAAACAAGTGACCAAGCGTAAAATTTAAATTGAAACCAAAGTAAATAATAACATCAATGATAAATGGCAAGAGTAAATTAAAGTTAATACGTTATAACTATAGTTCAATATAGTACTAAATTAAAAGTTTTATAAGACAAGATTTAAAGTAAAATTGATAACTATAGACAACAAGTTATAGATCTAAGTTTTGAAATGTAAGAGATACTTTATTCATGTATTATATATTATTAACTTATGACGCGACGGAATGAATTTTACGGATATTAATTTTTTTAAACCAGTCTTAATCTAAACACGTGAATCTTCTCAATTTCGGGACTCAATCATTTTGATGGATCTATTCATACGGTCCTAGCGGGTCGGGTTTTCTCGAGTTCGAAGTGTTGATGGATCCAACTTGCTCACTCCTAATAAAAGCAACTCTAATAGTAGACAAAAATATTGGATTATCAAACACTCATTTGATATTTTGATATAATTTTCTAACCTGATAAAATAAAATTGATCTTAAAAAAAAATACATGTTATTATAAATTTGTATTAAAAAGGTCTTAAACGAAAGTAGGACCTAATATTTAGATTTTAGAATGTGGAAGCTTGTAATAATTGCAGGGTGGTCAGATGAGTCTGACTGTACAGTTTTGCTCTGGTGGGGTGAGTCTCCACTGTACCACATACACCCCCACTCTGCATATGCATTAATATCCATCCATCTAACTTCTCTACGATGCATTGATATATAACTTTATTTATTCAGAAATCAATAGTTTGGGTATTTGTTAATTTCAAAACCTTTTCTTTTAATTAATGTTTTAAATGGTTGAGATAAGAGGTCTTAATTGAAATGAGCTGTACTCTCACCCAATTATAAATGGTTATGGTACCACCACTTCAAATAATTTTCTTCTGAAAAATTGGTTGAGAAAACAATAAAAAATCATCTACTTTAACCTTGTAAAATATATTATTTATTCGGTGCACTCATATAGTTGAATTTAGGTAAACACGAATTTTATTGGATAATCTTATTTAATTTGAGACTTTAACTTTTATAACGAATTTGAATTAATTCGATCCCGATTATCCAAACATATTACTAATTACTATTATTTAAATTTCCCGTAAGGGATGAATCGGAACAAATGAGTATGGGTTAATTAACTCAAGTTTGAATCTGTTGTGGATTCAGGCCCACAGACAATAACAGGTCACACAAAATGAAAATCAAGCCAAGAAAGAACACACAGATACTACTGTGTTGACTCAACCGACTGTTGACACCGTTGCATATAATACAACTACAGCTACCACAGATCTAAAACAGAAAGCTATAAAACAGATAAAGAACACAATATTTAAAGTGGTTCGACCTGTATTACCACAGGCCTACATCCACTGTGCAGAGAGAACAAAATCAACTAGATCAAGAAGGTTACAGATTACAAGATAGTGATAACACTCAAGCTCTCAACAGCTATTTCACCTGAGCTGTATTGACACTCCCCTGTGTATACCTCACTGTTTCTCTCTTGTTTCCCAACCTCAAATCTCACAAACCATGTGAAGATTTCCTTTTTGCTTTCCCTCTAGCTTCTTCTTTTGTTCTTGAGAGTTGCCTCTCTTTCCAGCCCCTCAAACCTTATCCCCTTGATTAGCCTTGGCCTCCAAACCTCTCCACCAAGTGCTTTATATATGCAGCAAGCCCTAGCAAAAAGCAAACTTGGTCCCCAAGCAAACCACTGAGAGCTTGACAGGTGTCCCACTGTCAGAGTGGTCCTCACGGGTTCTGTCTTATAGTGTAACAACTCCTTACACTTTCCAGCTAGCTCATCCCTGGGCTTTACTTTAACTGCTGACCCAGATAAAGTATCCACTTGGTATGTACACGTGGATATGAGTCACATAATAACAGAATCCCATTGTCAATTTTTACTAGGTCAAGCTTATTATACATGGTTTACCTAGTATGGTTTGCAAACCATTATACGAGAGTGTATCAGCGTACAAACGCGGACCCAGAGGGTTTTGGGTGAGGGGCTAGAATATTTTTTTGGACTAAAATAGTATAAAATTTTAACTTTGAGGGGCTAAAGTGTATAAATTAATAAATAAATAACACAAAATATTTAAAAAAAATAATAAAAAAAGGTAAAAAAAAAAATTCCTGCAGGGACGGGCCCCCAAGACATACCTTGGATCCGCCCCTAGCAACGCACCTAATTAGTTGGTTGCAAATTCCTTCATTAGCGAAAAAAATCAACTAATTTTTTTTGTTTTATTCATGTATTATTTTACTCAAACTTGATTTGTTTCTTACCGAAAGTGGAATTTATGTGGATTTCAGTGAAACGTATTCAATTTGAGGTCAAGTGTTTGACCCTAAAGATTTTAAGCATGAACATACTTTCGACAACTATGTTGACTCTATTGGATAAAGTTACATACATAATAAATAGTTGATAATTGCATTTAGACACAAGATTTATATGGTATGATTATAAAAATTAATATCTTTTGAATTTTATGAATAAAATTATTTTATTTTTCATAAGTGGGTTCTAATAGAAACCCACCTTAATTATAATGTTGGTCATACACTTTTGCTTTCTTTCCAATGATTGTTATTCCAAATCTTTCAACACAAACCATCTACTTTATTTAGTAGTTTCCTTTTTTACCCTTTTTCTCAAGGTATTACTTCGCTATCGTTCACCCAGGGGTATTTAGTTTTGTAAAGTGGTCCTTGTTGATTCACACGGAATGCCACGTGTCCCATGCTACTCGGTTCAGAATGTAAGCTGATAATGCTTTCGGCTGACGTTCGCCACTACTACGGGAATCGCCTTTATGATTTAACCAATAGTTCAATAGATGATTCGAACTATGAATTTACAGTTTGAGAATTTACGACTCACATGTTGATTCATGGTCAACGGCTAACCGGTTCACGGTCAATGAACCGATGCTCTAGGGACCAATTGGACATGTTTGCTAAAAACCTTTTGATTAATCCCAAAAAGACAAAATTTAAAGTAGAATTTGGAAAATTTGGTGGGATAGTCCAAGAAAGTGGTTAAACCCTTTCATTATGAATAATGAATTAAATTAGGTACACTATTATTCTACTAAGTAATCAAAATATAGTAAAAGATGAGTGATATTATTTTAATGTTCATCACATTATTGTTCATATGGACTGTACTATTGTTGGTCGAAAACCTACACGCAAGTGCACGTATCGTACAAGTAATATAGTGGACAATTAAGTCCGGATATCGAACCCACAGGGAATATTTAATTATCTAATCCTAGACGCTAAATTCTACCAATTATTATCAAGCCCACCCTACACAGTCGAATTTAGAGATAATTAACTAAATTAAAATAAATTAAAAAGCAAATTAAAAAGACAAGAACACGAAAGCAATTTAAAAACGAAGATTAATCAAAGTAGACAAGCCTAGGATTTTATTCTTCCCCCTATGTGATTATTATTTCCCCAATTCCTTCAATTATACAAGCAATTAACCCGGATTATTAACCTGAGATGCTAAAATAATCATAACCCGCTTCCGCGTATATTACAATTCTAATACTCTAGATTCAATTACTATATTCCTATGCAATTAATTCTAGAACACAGCATTAAGCACAAATCTCAATAATGGCTACCTAAGAGATTAACTATATTCCTATGTTAATACCACAAAGGCTCTTCTACCACAGTTCTAATTATTAACCCGATCTTCCGATTCATGCGATTAACAATAACATAAAAGCACATAAGTTGATCAAGTTCATGCACTTAATAAAACAAGTAGAAGAAATAATCCGGAATTAAAACTTGCATAAAATCATAGAAAAGGGTTCATAAATCCCACATAGGGTTCCAAATAAAATCCTAGAAATAAGTAGTTTAGCTACTCATAATTAAATCAAAAACGCAAATAAAATAAATCATAGACGATAAATCTTTGCTTGGAGTCTTCGAATTCTTCGTTATTGCTTTGTTGCTCTTGAAATTGCGTAAAAAGATGGATCCCTAATTGTGTGCTTGGCTTGGTCTTATATAGGGTGAAAAACTTGGGGAAGAAGGCAGTTTCCTTGTACAATTAAGATTCCTTCACTGCGCCAACTCGCCCATCCGGACGGCCGTGTGAGATTTATGCCTAAAATCCGCACGGCCGCGCGGTCTATTCTCCAGAATTCTGCTTTTTTCACTTTTGGCCCATATTTTCTCCAAAATTGCAGTTTTGACCCCATACTTTTCCAATTCTTCAATTTGTACCTAAAATACAATAAATCAACTTTTTAAGCACCAATTATCGTTAAAACACACCAAAAGCTCAAATAAAAAGATACGATAAAGTGTAAAAATATACACTTAACAACTATTACAATAGTACATAATAGTAATGAATAATATATAGTATATACTAATAACATGAGGTGAAATAATTATTTGTTATGGCAAATTACGTCCACCCCTGAGTTATCATCAAATTACGAAAACATCCCTCATGTTTGGGTAATTACAGCCATCTCCCTCAACTATGTATTATCTTACGAAAAACCCCTCCAAATGTAAATTTAGGGATGTTAAATCGGTAAAACCGAACCGAAATTTCGGACGCCAACATTTCATACCGTTTACCGAATTGAATATACGATTTGATTCGGTAAATAACTGAATTATATAAATATTTGTGTAAAAATATTTAAAATGAGCGGTGGCCGTAATTACCCAAACAAGAGGGGTATTTCCGTAATTTGGCCATACATCAGGGGGACCGTAATTTGCCCTTATTTGTTATGTAGCACTATACACATTTATTGTAAGATTACATTATTGCTGGACCCCCGCCACCACTACGGCCACTCGCCGCCCGGCCGCCGCCCACATGAAATAGATTTTGTTGTCGAATTGGGAATTGTAGTTAGAGGTGAATTTGTGGTAAAATAAAATCTAGCAAATATAGGATTTCAAGTTAAGAATTAATTAATTTGTAATTTTTTAGGTAATAATTTTTTTCCTTCTTGAAATAGCTAAGATACTTCCTAACTTAATTTCCTTTTCCAATTCTGAAACAAAAACCACTCATTATATATATACATGTATCGATCGATCAGCCAAAACAAATTAATCAAACCCAAAATCAAATTCAAAAAAACATTCAAAGAAAAAGAAGCAATCATCATAAAAGCTGATGGATTCATCTTCGTCTACCGATAACGGCAAGATAAGCTACCTCTGCGCCCGCGGCTGCGGCTTCTTCGGCGCGGCGGAGAACCGCGGCCTCTGTTCCAAGTGCTACTCCGACTACATCAAAGAGACGATGATCAAATCGGTACCCGCAACAATCGGCGGCCAACGGCAGGATTTTGCCCCGCCGCCCGGCGGCAACACCCCGAGGGGAATCGCGATCGGTAAATTGATCGACGTTTCGAGAACCGGAGCAATGATGGAAGTCGACGCCGCCAACAACCCATCGGCTTCCGCTCCTCCAGCCGTGAAAAATCGGTGCGGGGTTTGCAAGAAGAAAGTGGGGTTGCTAGGGTTTGAGTGCCGGTGCGGCGGCACGTTTTGTGGGGTCCACAGGTACGCGGAGGCGCATCCGTGCCAGTTTGATTTCAGGAGCACGGGAAAGATTGCTATCGAGAAGGAAAACCCGGTTTGCAAAGCTGACAAGTTTACGGATAGGGTTTAATCGAAACCCGTAGTTTTTATTTAATTTTCCCTCAATCCTAACTTTTACTTACTCATCTAACTATGATCGTTACTCCCTCGGTTCCTAAATAAGTTTAGTTTTTTTGCCTTAGCACAAGTTTTAAGAATCTCAATAAATATGTCTTGATTATAGAAAAATAGATGTTGATAGACAAAAATACCCTTGTTTACTAATTAATGCAGAAATAGTGTTGGAGGGTTAATAAGGGTATAATTGAAAAGTACATAATAATGCAGCATTGAAATCGTAAACAGTATTCATCTTAATTTCCTCTCTTGTTTGCGAAAAGAAAAATTAAAAAACGAAAACCAACTTTTTTTTCTAATACGAATCCTTCCGAAAATCGAACGAAAATGATAAACGCAAAATAATCTAACTGTCCAAACATGAATTTCCATCAAGTCTTTGCCATAAAAATATCCCAAAAAAAATCAAGAATCAGATACAAGAATCATTACCGGCGTCGTTATTACCACGAATTTTGTCGTTTCTCGATTTCAAATCATCCAAATAATTCTGATAAATATAAGAAGCAAATCCCCAAATAGCCATAAGCATAGCAATTATCTTCACCCCGTTCATACTATCGTGAAATATCACCACCGAAGCAAGAGGAGTAACAGCCAACGAAAGGGTACTTATGACATTCGAAAAAAGAGACGAAACCACAAAAATCAAACCAACAACACCGACTGAACATACCTGCCACGCGACAGCTGTCCAAACCAAAGTCATTACGTAAGAAACTCTCCCCGATGTGAAATTACCCATTTCTCCCTGCAAACTCCTCCACTCCCCGCTAGCGAAAAGGCCCACAATAGCAACACAAGTCGCCACAATCGCCGTGTAAATCTGCATCTCGAGCACAATCGAAAAAGTTTCTTTCTTTAGAACCTTCTCAAAAGTCAACTGCATTAGAGACAGCAAAAGGGAGTACAGTGCAGAAGCTGCAAGTGCCGTAACAATTCCGATTATATATTTACGCTTAGATACCCCTAAAGGTTTGTCCGAGTCGTCGTTTATAGCAAGAAGGGCGGCGGATAAAGAGAGAATCACCACGGAATTAAATATTAAAGCGGTGAACTTTTGACTGTTTAAGAAGTAGGAAAAAATCGCGTTGAACGCCAATTGTGTGGCGCAGATGAGAGAATAAGTCGAAGCGGATAGATACAAAAGGGCGATGGAATAGAGCATGTTATCACCTGCAATTAGGACGCCTATGACGAAATAAATCGTGCAAAGAACAAGAATCGAAGGTGGGGGTGATGAACTAGGGGGCTCGTTTTTCGAGCGGAGGAAAAAATACGGGATTAGAAGAATCGGGAAGGCGGCCGTTTGGACAAGTGTGGCTAGCCATTTACTATTGCCGCCTTTGTCGTAATAGAATCTTCCTAAAAGAACCGCTGCAGCTTGACCGACTATGAGAAAAGTTATGTTGAGAACAACCAAGATCCACCAGTGCGTTCGTTTTAGCTTATGAAGTGGATGTTGATAAAGCCCGTCTTTTTCCATAACGGGTTCTTGAATATCTGTAGAGTGGAAAAGTGGGCCCGTTAGATTAGCTTAGTGTAAAGACAATGTAATAGAGAAAAACATCGAAAGTATATGTGTAATGACATAAGACAACGAAAGTTTGGATCCAGAAAGACGAAATTTATCAACAATTGACGAGGATAAAAGCAAAAGCAACTCGGGCGAAAATCCTGCGCGATTTGTTTCATAAACAAGATCCTAAATCTTAAAGCATATATACTAACACCTAAAAAAACACGTAAAACTACAAACTTCCCGATTCTTACGAAATCTACATCAAGAATCGACTATTCGCATCAAACCCATTGATAGATGTAACAAGTCAGTTGTTAAAACGCATTCTCTTACGATCGAAAAGTTCAATTTTACGAGATTTATTACAGTCGAATGTTGGTTAAACAGACTTACAGTCCTAAAATCCACCACAAGTAAACACTAATTTAAATGTTCGATATGCGAATTTGCGACAAGCAAGACAATAATTCACTATAACTCAAACTAATCTTCAATAATCATAAAATATTTAATACTAAATTTGAATTAAACACTTTGTCATCTGTATCATATTCTACCAAATAAACTACTGATTTTAAACAAACATCAATTTAAGGAAACGCCATAAAATATTACAAGTAATTACTGCAACAAAAAAAAAATTTAAAAAGAAAAAAAACAACAAATTACAGGTATTTTGAGTTACTGAGGAACGTAGAAATACCTGGCATGATTCGAAGATGGGTTCCAGAAAAAGAAAAATTAAAACCCAGAGAAAAGGGCGAATTCCCAGATTATGCGGGCGAAAAGAGAGATTCAGAGAAAATTGAGGGATTTGCGTATAATTTCAGAGAGTTTTGAAGGGAAGCGATGGAGGTGATGAATTTATACGCACTTCAAAATTTGTATCTAATGGGGTTTCGCTATTTTGATTTTTCCACACACACAAATAATGGAAGCAAATATCACTTGATGCATCATATATTCATTATTAGTATTTATTAATATTAATTAATTTTTTTTTTCTGATAAATTGTTATTATTTTCTTTTATTTCTCAAAAAAAAATATTGTGTTTGCTTTTTTATTTATTTTCTCTTGGTAGCATGTCAATTTAAGCTTCAATTAGCATTGGTTTCTAATTGGCAAGAATAAATTAATCAATTATTTTTAATGGTGCCATGATTCTTTGCTTTTTAATAAATATTGGTACTATGATTTATCATATTTGGTTGGTTGTTATGAAAATTGTCCGGTGCGAGCGAGCGAGCGATTTATAACCGGCCTCGCTTTTTATGGGCTTTATTGAACCAAACTTGCCTAGTGGTCAGTATAATTAGAATTGTTCCCGATCACAAATGAAAAGACTTGTTCCAAAATCGGGACAAAGTTTCTATTTCTTAATCATCTATAATATAAAATACGTAACACTATTGATTTTTCGAAAACTTAATATCGGATCAAGAGTCAAATTTTAATTAATATTCCATTTCCACTAAAAAATGTAAATCGAAACTTTTGGAATTCAGAATGACATTGATAATATCTGAATCGGAACCGATGAAATTGTGAAATTTTGTTCCAAATTCCAACATAATTTTGCGTGAGTAATCTTTGAGATAAAAAGTCTTACTTATTACCCACAAAAAAAAAAAAAAAAAAAAAGTCAAACTATCCATTATGAGTTGTGACAATTAATAGTCCTAAATTAGTGGGATTATTGAGTGGCAAATTATCATAATTAGTAGATAATTGAATAGTTGGGCCCGGCCCACTACTCGAACCGGTAGCAAAATCGTAATTGAAATTTGCTTTCATCGGAAGGTGGGAGGAAATTCAAATCCTAATACCATTTGCATTTGCATTTGCAATATCATTGTTGTTTATTTCATTTGCAAGAAGTGCAATTTATACACAAATGTTATCCAGACCCTGCATACGATTTCTTGATGTCATTTATACTTGGATGGATAGTTACATCATAAGAATACAGATGAAAATCGAACTGAGATAGTTCGATCAAACATAATAGCTCGATAAAAAATCGACAAATCCAAACAATCACATAATCAACTCTCTCGTTTACATCCGTAATCATATGAATACATATCCAATAAACGCATACTTAGGGGGTCGGTGAAGAAGAAAAATAAACAACACCGAAAGGAACAAAACTAACTACAGTCTCAATGACTACGAATACGCCAAAATGGTACATACGTAAGATGAGAAAAACACACACAGTAGAGAATGAAACAACAACGACAATCTACTACTATATCCCGATTTAAAAGTACTCTTGACAAATCACAACCAGAATCGATCCGCTATCAAATAACAAGAACTTTCTACAGATGCATATATTTTTTTGTCCCGACCAAAAAATACGATAGAACCACAAAAAAAAAAAAAAAAAAAAATCGAGGCTCGTTTTTTTTCTTTTTTTTTGAATTAATTAGCAGGCACATCCTCCAGACTGCTGTTGTGACTGAGATCCGTTTGCGTTGCTAGATTTGAGGTTCACGTCCACCATATCTTCTTGCTTTGTTGATGATAAAGTTTCCATTCCTGGCAAAGCTGCAGCAATCTTCCTAAACAAGGCCTGGAAAAATAAAAAAATAAGTCGTGCAAAGCTCAAATTCTATTAAGCCTTGTTTGGATGGGGAATTTGATGTTTGGTAAACCCAATAATTTTCCCGGTCGACCTGGAAAATATTATTTTATTGGAAAATAATAGAATTGGGTATTCGTTAGATTATTTAATCTTATCTTAGGAACTAAACGAGGCCTAGTGAGATTGTAACGATCTTATTTTGGTTAATGCCATTGTGGCAACCAAACTACCTTATTGGTTACTTTATCATGTGGTGGTGCAGACAGCAACATCAAAATACGAGGTAGTTAAAATGGGGCTATATATTAGTTGACTAAAAAAAGGATGAGAAGATTGTATAGTTGTCCATCATATAACTAATGAAAATTGGAGAAGGTGGTGATTTGTACCAAATTGAATATCATACGAGAAAATATTGCAGTGTATTTACCTTAATATTGAAACCGGCCTTTGCACTAGTTTCGATAAACATGACGTTGAGATCACGAGCTTTAGCCTCTCCTTCCTCTATTGAAACTTGCCTGCAATTAGACACCGTAAATTGGTTGAGTAAGAGCAGAATATAATTATCTTCTGTTTATTATACCAACTCTTATCCCTTACCTGCAATTATGGCTAACATAACAAACTAATGTAAAAGGTTGAAATCAAACACATACTCTAATACTCTAATACTCTACGACCCCGCTTCAATGCTAAAGTACCCTGCTTCCAATCTTTTCCCATTTTTTTTCTTTCAAATAATCGCTCTTCATAAAAAGTTACAAAACTTGTTTTTGCATCGGCCATTTCATAATCCCGGTAAGAATCAAACTTTGATATTGCTCAATAAATTCTAATGTTTGCAGCCTTGCAACAACATAGTCAAAAACTTGTTATTTCGACCCAACAGGTACAAATTAGGTGTGTGATGATTTGTTCACCAATCTATTCAACACAACTGGTGAGGTTTTTCTAACCGGGTTTCTCTCTTCTTCACTATAAAGTGCATAGTATAAAACTGAAAAATAAAACAAGCAAAACTAATAGTTTATTGAGATAAATCGCTATAACTTATGTGGAAAAACCGAGCATAAATAAGAGCAGAAACTAGAAATAATTACCTCTTATCCACCAAATCAGTTTTGTTGCCAACTAGGACGATAATAACATCACTTCCTCTCTCAGTACGAACCTCCTCGATCCACTTTGAAGTGTTAAGAAACGATTGTCTACCTAATAGCCAGTGAAATATCATAAATACCAAAAAAATTACCAATACTGCAAAATTTAACCTAGCTGGACATTGGAAGAAGCTAATAAAAACTCTTCTATATGAAATTAGAACGAAATCTAGGAAAACCAGACGACATCCTCAGAGGGGAAGTAAAATATTAATTTGCTTAAATTACATTACAAAGAGATAAAATCTTACTTGCAACATCAAATACTATGACAGCAACTGAGGAGTCCCTTATATAGCTCGGGATGAGACTCCTAAACCTTTCTTGACCAGCAGTATCCCTGAACACACAAGATAAAAAGATTACTCATCAAAAAAATAACTTGGAAACAGTAACTGAGAATTCGGAGAACAGCAAAACAAAGAGCACTAGATAGAGTCATTGCTCTTTATCAGACAGTGGGAAATAACCCAACAAAATTTTGGCACTGCCACAATTGTTTTTATAAAAAAAATATTTACTTATAATTAGGTTCGCTATTAATCATGCTGATCTATTCAGTTAAAAAAGAAAAAAAGAAATATAGATTAACAGAAAAAGAGTTTCTGATGTGCTGTAGTCTGTAGATAATACGAGTCTTCCTATCTATAGTTCCAAGCCTCACAAGGCGGTCACATCACGTTATCAAAGATTTCTAGAGTAGATTTTCTTGCAACCTATTTCAACGAGAATGTAAAGCACAAAATATATATCTGAGCATATATATCTGAGCAAGCGTGTGTAGTTTCATTTCTGTCGAGAATTTGTATCTTACCACAGCTGCAAACGTACAGTTCTGTCTTCAAGGTACATCGTCTTGGATAGGAAATCAATACCAATAGTAGCCTGAAAACAACATCAATGTCAAACATAAATAGAAATCCGAACGCATTTTCCATTAAATTTAATTATTTTCAATGCCTTTGTTTTAGTTCATGAGAGGGTGGATCGAAATACTAAGAGCCAGACCAAGCAATAATAGATCAGAAACCAAACAAACAAAATGTTGCACATAACATATCATAGATATTCCATTATTTTAAGCAACTTCTGAATCGAACACATAAACGCTTGCAACTGCATACTTTGCAAGTTCAGCCTCCGAACAGCGGATTACAACGATCGTGAATTCTAGGCTCAACTTAAATTCAAGGTTCAAAATTAACACATTTTAATTTCAATAAACAAATCATAATTATCACATTCAATTGAAGGTTTATCGATCCTATTTGAAAAATCAAACTACAAAAAGTCAACTCGAAATGTTCCTTTTCGAAAAATCACACCAAATAACAACAATCAGGAACCAGATCCGTACTCATTGCATTATTCTTTTCAAAACAATGTAAAATTCAAAAAAAAATTAAAAATATTAAACTGCAACTCCAGAAAACGAATTGATCGCTCACCTGATAAGTGTTGTCGAATTTGTCGTACATAAACCGAGTGATGATACTGGTTTTCCCGACGGATTGATCGCCGAGGAACACTAATTTGTACTTGGCAAGCGCCGACACCGGAGCCATCACTCAAAATTAACTCGATTAAATTACGAAACCGGATCGGGGCGTTCAGAATCGGATCGGTTGCTGTTTTTTTCCGACGGAAAGTTCACGATCTCGCCGGAAAAAAGGAAATCGGAGAACTGCCGGAGAAATCGATGATGCGAGAAAAAATTTGTATATTGTTTGCGCGTTTTGTTGATTTGGAAATGAGAGGGATTTGCTAAATCACTAACTACTACTGTGCTATTAACGTGTTCCTTCTGCGCGTGAAGCAACTGTGAAAATATTATATAATAAATTATTATTATAAATTATTATTATTAAAAAAAGAAAAAAAGAAAAATACAAACAGAAGGGTTGGCGGAAGCTGCTGCTGAGTGCGGATACCGGTGGTGGCGGTCGTCGGTCGACTGTGTGGAAATGTTAATCCAAATTATTATTAAATTATTGGACGAAATTGCCCCCATTGTGATTAATAGTAATTTGTATTAAGCGTATTTTTTTTTAATATATTCTATTTATTATTGATAAATGAACCGGGCCGGGCCCAACCCATAAACAATGTAAAACTCTTGTCTAGGCCCCCCATGGTCTTAAATACTAGGGCTGGAAAATAATTACCGCCTACCGAATATCACGGTATACCTACTAAACAATACCGAAAAATTGCCGAAACTTCGGTAACCATTACATTTGGTACGGTAGTAGTACCGTACCACTATTATACGGTACGGTAGTGGTATTGTATTTCAGTACTATGGGAATACCGTACCGTACCACACCACAAATTTGAATTTTATAATTTAATTAATGTATATTTATTGGTCAATAATTAACTAAAACTAAAATTACTACATAAAATAAATAGGTCGAAACTTAAAAAAGTTAAAATATAGTTCTTAAAAAATTATGAGAAAACATTGAAGTTTAGTGCAACAAAAAAACGTGCATCCCATTTGGTTTTCACTGAAATAATAGAGCTGCAAATTGAGATTGAAAAAAAAGATCATGACTCTAGTAATCTTATTTTGCAAGGTGTCACTAAATCAATGAAGTTAAAGTTTGATAAATATTGAAGGAGCTTTGAAAAATTGAATAAGATTATATGAATAGCCAATGTTCTTGTTTAAAGTATTGTGTTTTTATAAAGATCATCTTCAAAGTATAACAAATTAAAATTAACGGTAGAGTACCATATACCGATATACCGTACCGAAAGTAACGGTAGACCGAATAACGGTATACCGCACTTGTTGGTACGGTAACGGTATCGAATTTTTCAATACCATATAATTCGGTAGGTACACGATATTGATCAAAATATTCGGCAACCGTACCGAAACCACCCCTATTAAATATTGTTATAAAATTATATATATTGAGCCCAATTTTATTTTAGAGGACACCTCCTAAAGCAAGGTCAAATTACAAAATAACCACTTTTGTTAGGGTAATTAAAATCAATTCCTTGAACTATATATTGTCTTACACGTTTACCCTTATGGTGTCAAATTTACCTACTGAAAGATGAATTATTTTGTAAGAAAAATATAACTCAGAGAATAGTTATAATTACCCATACACGAGGGTTTTTTTTTCTCGTAATTTGTCCTTATCTCATAGGGACGGCGTAATTTAAAAGTTATATATAATAGGGTAATTAGCACTTAACCCTCTCGAGTTACAAGCTTTTGCAGATGACCCATTGTGCTCGTAATATAAGCACATAATCCCCTTATGGTTTACGGGTAGCTTCCATTAGTTTTTCCGCCAAACTTAACCGCATGTGTCAAACTTCAAGGGGGTCGTCTGCAAAAGATATACTTTGATGTGTGACACATGCGGTTAAGTTTGCCGGAAAAACAAACAGAAGTTACCTCGATTATCTACAAGGGGGTTTAATGCTGATATTACAAGTATAAGGGGTTTAAGCGTTATTTACCCTATATAATAGGGTCTAATTCAATTAAATATATTTTTTTAAAATTTTTAATTACAGTTTTTATGTATCAATTTCACCCCTGGCTGATCTAGAAACCCTCGAATAAAGGCAAGTCCAGAAGAAATCACCTCAAACCCCAACACTCAGCAATTTGCATTCTGAGCATTTCTCCCACAGATTAATTGCAGCAAAAGAATGGCATCGGCGTGGAGATTCACCGAACTCCGCCACCTACGAATCCCCGTTTCAAGGGCCCTAAACCTAAACGGATCCCGTTCGACGGCCGTCCGATCAATGTCATCGCACGGCGACGATCACCTCGACAAGCAGGAGGTTGTTGACCGAGTCCTCGATGTAATCAAGAGCTTCCCCAAAGTCGATCCCTCTAAGGTTATTTATCTTTATTTTTGTGTTTTTTTTTTAATCTGGAAATTTCTGTTTTTTCGCAAATTACATTTGTCTCCTATTTATTTGTATCGGAGGTGTGATTATCTGTGTCTGGATTGGGAGAATTAGTGAGATTAATTTGAAGAGGTGGCGATTTGCGATTGTTTTCGAGTTCGTCTTCCATGGATTACTAATTGCAGATGTTTAGATATAATTGGTGTTTTTAAGAAGCATTATTTTGCAATAAAGGTTTCGTCTTTGTTTCTTAGCACAATTATTTTTTCCGTTCTGACGATTAAAGGGGGCTATGAAAGTGAATGAAAAGCGAAATATTTACATGTTTTCGGTAATAATAGAAGTTGACACGAACGTGTCTTATTATGCTAGAGGATGTGCAAAATGTCATACGATGTTGACGGGAATGAAGTACGAGTGAGTGTTCTTTAACTCGTAGATGCGAATACTAGTGGGTACTCGACTCTAGTTACGACATTTAGTTCCCTCCTTTTTCTACTACTTCCATCTGAAACGGAGAAAAGTTGTTAGCTACAACGTTTCATGAATCTAAAAGCAGCTTATCTTAATGGGATTCATTGATGTTGAAGTAATTCAAACCTCTTATTTATGTACTTTGGATGAGTTTTCTCATTTCTTTTCAGGACTTTGCTTAAGAATTAGAGTGAGTTAAAAAAAAAACGTTGCCGTGGTTTGTCGTAATTGCTCTAGACTTGTCATAAGTTCAAAAGTTTTCATTAATGAAACGTAATTCTTCTGTAGAATGAAATCGAGAAGATTTCATTTAATCACAGGTTTTGTATAGTAAATGAATTTGAACCCAATTTCCACGAGAGTTTCACTGTAAGTACAATGCCTGTCTCGTAATTAAACAAGTTTCCATTTTTATGCAACGTTAAATCCGTGTCCTTTTCTTTTAATTAGAGATAAAATTACAAGAGATGGGGTTATATTCTTATATTCGTCCCAGCATTTTGGAGAACTGTATTTTGTGTTTATTTGATTGAGCCGATTTCGTCGTTAAATCCGTGTCCTTTGCTTTTAATTAGAGATAAAATTACAAGAGATGGGGTTATATTTTTATATTCGTCCCAGCATTTTGCAGAACTGTATTTTGTGTTTATTTGATTGAACCGATTTCGTCATATTTCGTATTGAAAAATGTGCAGGTTACCCCGGATGTTCATTTTCAGAATGATCTAGGATTGGACAGCTTAGACACTGTGGAGATTGTGATGGCTATTGAGGAAGAATTTAAGCTCGAAATTCCCGATAAGGAGGCTGATAAGATCGACTCTTGTCCTCTTGCAATCGAGTATGTCTATAACCACCCAATGTCCAGCTAAGTTCTGCAGCACATTTTTCGGTTTTTTTTTTTTTTTTTGTAATTTATTTTAATGCAATTAGACGTTTTTATCCAGTCATTGCTTGACTGTGTGATGTTGTAGAAATTTGATCCCAGGATGGGAAATAATTTGGGGATTCTTTGATTAAAAGAACCCCCGATCATGCGGGATTTAATAATTTCTTTGACTAATTACTTTTGCAAATATGTCTCGACTCTCGAGGTTTTTTTGTCTTTTTTTAATAATTAGGTCAAATCTCATGGATAATACTTATAATTAACCCTATATTGAATTGAACATTATTCATACTCTAAAAGGAACATATTTGTTCAAGAAGCATAATGAATTAGTGAATGTTTTCTTGGTTACAATCGCACACACACACACACACCCATACATGTGTGTGTGTGTGTGTGTTGTGTGTGTGTGTGTGTGTTTGTGTATACACGTGTACGGTGAGATCCTACTCGGTGGCATACGAATTTCCTCTTTCATTAGAATATCAGGAAGTGATACACTTACAATTACACACACATACACACACTAGTACTAATATATAACTGCAGAACATAAACACAAACATACACATCTTTACACCAAACACAAGATAATTATATACACACCACTACTTACCTAGGACAAAACAAAACAAAAACAATCTGATCAAGATCCTGTCTGAAGCAAACGCATAACACTAAGCGCCACAGCCGAGAGCTGAAACACGTCATCGTTCCTCTCACTCAACGGCGAGTCGACACCTGTCCTCCCCTCCTTAAACCCATCCTCGCAGGTAGTGGAAGCATCCATAATCGAGCTTATTGCCACATTAGCATCGTCAAACCGTTTATTATTATAATATTTCATGGCTTTTTCCACCGAAGGGATCGAATCCGAGTAAAGCTCGAAGCAATCGCTAAGGCACTGTCTGACGTAAGAATCCAACTTCTTGTTCTTCAAGAGTTGTGTGATGTGGCGACGAGTGTCGGTTATGTTGTGGCTGAGTAAACGGACGGAGATTGTGCCTAGGCCTTGTAGGGTGGCACACCTGCTGGCGGCAGCCGCCTGGAGGGAGGTTGTGCAGAAGGTGTAGTTTATGTTTGGATCGTTTTTCGAGAGGGTTTTGCAGGTGGTGGTTATTAGGTTTTCGCCTTTTGTGGCTTGGATTATGATCAAGATTGTGATTGTTATTATGGTTGGATGAGATAACAGAAAAAAGGGCTTCATTTTTTTTTTCTTCTTGAAAGTGTGTGTGTGTGTGTGTGTGTGTGTGTGTGTGTGTGTGTGTGTGTGTGTGTGTGTGTGTGTGTGTGTGTGTGTGTGTGTGTGTGTGTGTGTGTGTGTGTGTGTGTATTGGAGAAATATATGGGTTTTATATAGGCAAGAGGTGGGCTTGTGTGCAGTTATGACAAAAATGATTGTAAATTTGAGGTGTTTCTAAAAGTGATGATTGCTCAATCAGACAAATAAATCAAAACTCTGATTTATTGTTTCTTGTTTGAGAATAAAGATGGCGATTTTTTTTTCTATGATAGGTCATGCCTTTAAAGGATAGAATCGCATTTTCTCAAAACTACTCGTAACTTCGAACTCACGAAACCCTTGTTAATTTTTCGTGTTTTATTGGGGTGATATTCTTTTGCATCCTTTCAATTTTTTTCGAGAAGTGAAAAACTAATTTCAGTTATGTTCCAGAAAATAAAAAAATTAATCAGGTATTGGAATTAAAACGAATCCAAAAAAAAAAAAAAAAAAAAAGAAGACAAACAAACAACGGGTGTAATTTTTTGAAATTAAAATTGGATCGGTAGTCGAAATCTAATATGTAGTCCAATCCCCTTAAAAGAAATTCAAAATTAGAATTTTCTGAATTTAAAATAAAAAATATTGTTCCAAGATCGAAAATATTCAGATCCAAATCAACATAATTAAAAAAAAATGTAGTTATTTCCAGCTCTAGATAGAAATGTACTTCTGACAGTGGTGTATGTGGTGCACAACACAATTTTCTTGCAGTTAGAAGTATATATATTCTTAGTTGTGATTATGAACAATAATTTGATTTATGGAGTGATTTATTGCTATGTATTATTGATCGGACACGACTAATAGTTGATTATGACAAGATATTTGATGTAATAAGAATATTTTGGATTCTTAATCATGCACTAATATGACTGTTTAACAGATAATAAAACCTCTGGTTTAGTTTAATCCCAAAATTAGTCAATATTTTGATATATATCTCGCATACATATATCTATATATATATATATATATATATATATATATATATATATATATATATATATATATATATAAAGAAGTAAGAATATATGAGAGTCTTGATCATAATTTTTCCTTCATTTTCTTGATGAAGAAACATTTATTATTACAAATAAATATAACAATTGAATATATCATCCAAAAAATAAAAGATTCCATTAAAAGTAACCAAATTATACACCGGAGGACTACAATGAGATGAATTGTAGGATTGACCGATGAAAATGAGACGATAGAGACATGAGGGACTAAAGTTGAACTAAATAATAAGATGAGGGATTATTAGCAAGATCTGGCCAAAATGAAAATAACTTGTTCCAAAATTGAAAAATTTCGGATCAAAATCTGCGGAATTCAAAACTTCCAATGTTTTGGAATACTTTCGAATATTAAAATCGGATCGAAAATCGAGGAAAGAAAAAAGTCGGAAACTGGAACTATCGGAAACAAGAACAACAAGGCACATGAAATATGATAGGTTTGCCACTTTTTGGCTGGACTGCAAAAGCTTTGCAAGTTTGGGCAAAACCGTTATTTCGAGTATAGCTTCAATCGGAGTTTCTTCTCTCGGGTGCTTTTCTTTTTTTAAATATCAAGTACCCGAAAAAGTCTATAAACCCATCATCATTTAATACACTTACATCACCTGTTAACTAAAATTGGGCACCCCCCCCCTAATTCATTGCTTATACGCAACATATATATATCAAAAACATATTTTCAAGAATATAATAATACTGTTTTCAAGAACTGACCTAATTATCCAAATAAACTTATAATAATCCGCACTTAATTCTATCCAGTCTCGACTGCTTACTAACCTCTTTCATTTTGCCGTTGCTTCTCCATCGGACCACGGCAGTGAAAATAGAAACTTTGAAGCTGTCGAAACTTCAATTTTATACCGTCGAATTTACTCCATAGTTACTTCATTTTTTCTCGCTCTCATCAATCGTATCCTCTTCTTCACCGCTACTATCACCGAACATTGTAGCCATTTTCATGGCCAGTTTCGCAGCCATTTCCCTCCTCTGGAAATCGGGCATCAACCTTAACCCATTGCGCATGTTACCGATTTCAGACATCAGCGTTTCCAAATCCTCAAAATCATACGCTTTGTCATCATCACCGTCCTCGTCGTCATTCTCTGACGCTTTGTCAGCTCCATGGGCCCGACTAGCTGATGTGGATGGCTGGTTTTCTTCTCCAACTGAATTGACTACAAGCTCTCGATTTAGAGAGTTAATATCACTTTCTAACTGTTTCCCATTTCCCGGGATCGAAACAGGCCCTTCTGCAGAAACCCATCCTACGTCATCCCATGGTTCTGCTGAACCAGAAGATAATATTTCGTATTCGGGTTCGTAATCAGATTCTTCTTCCGACGAATCTGCAAAAAAATTGAAAATTAAAAACATTCAATAAATGAACATTGAGATAAATAACAAATTAGCAAATTAACGTAACAAATTCGCATGTGAATAAAACCTTCTTGATCGGGCATTGAGGGTTCGTTTATCTTATCACCGGACTTCAACAGCATTCCAGGCCACATATGAGCAGAGAGTGCCCCGAAAAGTCTCTCAACACCCTGCGAATCACCGTCTACAGACAGACCTGTAATGAAATGTTAAATTGTCAGAAACAATTAGTTATCGGGTTTCTTTTTTTTAAATTAATGAGGTAAAAAACAATTAGAGGGCCTTACATCGGTCAAAATCAGCGTTAGATGCACAAGCTTCAACGTATTCAATATTATGTTCGAGACACCATTCTAAGCACGATGTTTTAAATCCCGATAACGGTTCTTCATCTCCCAATAAACTACTCCCTTCAGTTTCAGATATACCGTACTCTGAGAAGTCTAGATGAGGATCTACGGAAGATTCTCCATGCTTAAGCAAGCGTCTCTTGTACTCTATATGAGCTGGATGACCTGGAAGAAGATCTACCTTATTACCAATGCATAGCAGTACATCAAACTTCTGAATTTCGGTTTGAGAAACCCATTCTTTAAGAACAACAAGCGACGAGAGCTGCAAATAACAATTTAGGTTAAAGTACTAGTCACAGATAAAACAGTTCAATATGTAAACCGGACAGGTAATAAACGAATAAATTGATAAAGGCTTACATCGTTAACGTCGAAAACCATCACAAGGGCGACTAATCGTTCAATAGCTGGAAAGCTTGTGATGGATAACTCGTCACAAAGATGAGCAGTCCAAACTGAAACATCCGCCGTGTAATACTTTGTGTTGATTGTCCACCTTTATAACGTAACCACATTCAGATTATCGTGTTTATCATTGAGAAATTGGTTTTTTGCATCTAGTAACCTTACCCGTGGACAAGTAACTCGGGTGATGGATCGGGGGAATCTTCAAAATCCACGCCGAGTAGTCCTGTATCAAACAATCGAATATTCGAGGACTCGTTACACGTTAAATCAAGAAAGTTAACTAATAATCGTCCACACGAAAACTGCAAATGATCAGTACCAAAATTAAAAAAAAAATACTAATGGAATGACAACTGACATATGCTAGGAGATTGCATTGCCCCATGCTGACACACTTAATTACTCGGAAAAAAATTATATTAATTCATCGATCGGATTATCGTAAAAATACGTAATCATCAAAAGATTCGCAAAAACAATCAGAAAAAGGAATATATATTTGAGGTAATTCTTCTGATTTCTTCACCAAATAAGTTATTTTTTTCAAAATTGAGCAGCTTTTTACAAGTATTGAACATCAATCTAATTCCTGATGAATAAGTTACATCAAACGGCAGCGTATTGATACACTTATTGTGAATGTATGAGAAAAAAATCTAGGTCAAAACAATGGAAGAAAGATCCAGATCGAAGGGGGGAAAGAAAACGGAGGCTTACGTGAGAGTAGAGTTCGTTTGCCAACATTGGGGGATCCGACGACGAAGATTGCGGGTCTCTTCTCTAGGGTTTGTCGATCCATATTTTCGGCCATTGTTGCTCCGATTGTGTTTCTCAGTTTGGCTGTGAGGGTTTTACAGAATCACCAAAGGTCATCGGTCATCGGTCAGCAGCGTTGACCAGAAACAAATCAATATATATTTTATTTATTTTATTTTTATTTTGCAGTCCTCCAAAAAAATTAAACTTGGCTATTATGACCCCATGAAGCGAAAATTGGGGTGTAAATTGAAACGGAAGTTCGGTTATTCGATCGATTTTGATCTGAAAACTTTAGTTTTTGAACAATATTTGATCATTACGAATTCTGAAAGTTTCGATTTTCAGTTTTTTTCGAATTCTTTTTCGAAACGGCATTGGAATGTGTATTAGATTCTGATTTCCGATCATATTTTAATTTTCAAAAATATTCCCGAAAAATTGAGATTTTTTTTTCCCCGGAAATTGCACTTAATAGTATCAATAGACAATACTTATTTTGTCTTGTAGACTTGTAGTAAGTAAAGGTTACCAAAATATTGAAATCTTTGAATTCGTCGATTACGATCCAAAAAATAATTCTGATTTTGGAAAACGCTTTTCCATTTCAATTTCCAATTTTTTTTTCGAATTTTCCAAACCTTTTTGGAACGAAATTGAAACTCGCTCTCCACTTCAATTTTTTTTTCCCTGAAAATACTAATTTTCGATATGATCCGTCCCAATCTTCCCTAATAAAAAACCCCACAGTGAACCAAATTTTAATTTAATTGTAGTATAAAACTAAAAACTTTCAAATTTTTAACCCAAACTCGAGCCACATATGAATTAAGTGGATGGAGTTTGAAGTTGGATTTTTAATTAAATTTAAATGAAAGGAAAAAATAGAAGATGAAATTAGGGCCAGAAAAGAAGACAGAAAAAAGAAGAGGAATTATAATGGTGAAAATTCATATATTCTTACAGATTCTTGAAACACAAAATAATGTTATTTTTCGGAACTAGGGTTTAACACGAAACAACTAAAACACTATAAAATCTCTACTCGACCACAGCCAACAGATCCCCGGCTTTGCAGAAGCAGTACCTCGCGTCGTCCGTTCCCAATTCAACCTGATCAATCATAACCGTATACATTTTTTTTAACATGACACATATCCATACAGAATAAACATATATATAGACACATTACACAGACGTGTTCTAAAAACCGAAATCACGTACCTCATATGCACTTACGTCGGAGAACATAACCTGTATACAAGGAATGCATCAACTTACATGAAGAATTGGTAATGATAATATGGTCACTATATTATCCAAACAATTAAAACATGTATATATATATATATATATATATATATATTTGTGTGTGTGTGTGTGTAATATTCAAAACAATAGAACTCACTTTCTTTCCAGCCTTTACTTCCTCAACCTCGGCACCGACAGTAAGAACCTGAAAATGAGTTTTCGAACGATAAGAAAGCAGAATATGAACTCCAATAATACATTAATACATTTTTTATTATTATTATTATGGGCAAATTACGGCAACCCCTGAGTTATGGTCAAATTACGAAAACACCTCTCCTGTTTGGGTAATTATCTTACGAAGATACCCCTCCAGAGGTAACTTTAGGGATGTTAAATCGGTAAAACCGAACCGAAATTTCGGTACGCCAACATTTCATACCGTTTACCAAACTGAATATATGATTTGGTTCGATAAATAATTGAATTACATAATTTTTTTGTAAAAATATTTAAAAGGAGGGGTGGCTGTAATTACCCAAACAAGAGGGGTTTTTTCGTAATTTGGTCATACCTCAGGAGTGGCCATAATTTGCCCTTGTTATTATTTATTTTTATTTATTTATTGTCTAAACATTTGAATGGTTTCACACACCTCTCCGACGAGGTACCGTTCAAATTTAACAGCTGATTTTGGCAGCAAAACTCCCCCAGCTGATTTCTGCACGCAAAAAGATCGGTTATTCTAAATCCCAGTCTAAAGAAAAATAAAGAGAATTATGAATTATTGAAGAATAACACGTCGATAAGTAGTTGCTCGTAAATTGGTGGAATCATATGATGCGGATGGTCAGATAAAATGAGGACATTAGCAGAAACGAAAAAACAAATTGACAGCCATTTTAAAGAAAGAAAGCATCAACAACTCAATCTTGAAATTACGAAGAAAAAAAGTAAAAAGGTCGATATTGAAAAAACCGATTGCGTTGAAAATACCGAGTCGGGCATGAAATAACATCATTAAAATGGTTACTTAAAAACACAATTATTATGAAGATATTAAGTGTAAACTATATTTTTTTACAAAAAAAAAAAAATAAATAAATAAATAAATGGATTCAAGAAATTTAGGCCAAAAATAAATGAAAATCGGAATTTTTCACAATGAGAAGAATCAAGAATCAGTACCTCAGCTAGAGCCTCTAGGCGAATCAAAACTCTATCAGCTTGTGGCACAACCTGTAATACACAACCAACAAACAAACACAATAATTAAACTTATTATTTTTTTCAAGCCTCTTCCTTCAAAGTTACACAACAACAGAAAACCTTAAAAAGAAAATGAAAAGAAGAATAATAATAATAAGTGTAAATTACGGACACACTCTTAGGTAATGTCAAATTACAAAAAAAAACCCTTTATGTTTGGATAATTACAACCACCCATAACTATGAATCTTCTTAAGCGTCCATTCTACGGTGTCAATTTTTTTAGTGGAACCTTCTAGATTATGTGGCATATTCTCCGGTTTGTTCTTGTTTTACCCTATTCGAGCTCCACATTTTGAAATAAGATATGGTTCTTAGCTTGTATATCAGATTGCGGTGTATCAAAAACTGCATTTTTGCGCAAAAAGAGTACAAACTAGAGAACATTCTATGGAAACTATAAAATTGACACTATAAGATAGATTCATAGTTGATGGATGGTTGTAATTATCCAAATGGGAAGGGCATTTTCGTAATTTGACGTTACGTCACGTAATTTACACATAATAAACGTGGAAAAGAAAATGAATGAAAACCTTAGTGGGTTCATATTTGGTGGCAAATGCGTTTACTCTCAAAGAGCTCCTCTGAAAACCTAATCGAACACCACAAATCCGAGCAAAGCAAAAAAAAAATTAATAAATAAAAAGTTTAGCTAACTGCAGATTGAAATAAAAAAAAAAATTATTTAAATAAAATAATAATAATAATAATAATAATAATAATAATAATAACCTGTTGGGTTTTTGTTTGAGAAGCTGAGTGTGCTGGAAGCGAAGGGGCTAGACAGTATAATGAAAGAAGCCGCCATGGATAAGGGAAGTTCTTGTTGCAGTGAGGGTGTTGTACTCTGTGCTTTACCGCTGCTTCGAAACGTACAACCCGGAGGAAGGGGGGATTTTGCTGAAATGAAGCAGGCCCTTCTTTCTTCTTCTCGAGAGTGTGTTGTTGCCGCCACGTGTGGGATTGCTATTGGATGGCACTGTACAGGGTTTCTATCGTGTGCTCTAGATACTAGATAGTTCTATTATTCGACCCGGAAACCCGACTCGTTTTCTATGATGGGCCGTGATAAATTAGTTGTGGTTAGTTCAGGCCCAGTATTAATAAACGGACCTAACTTTGGGTCCAGCATTAATATATGATTTTTGTTTTTCTCTATAATTATGTTTGATTATCACATTTAAATTTATCAAATTTAACATGAATCGTCGAACCGGACTGGCAGTTCATTTGGACCGGCATGCAGGGGCGGATCTAGGGGGTGGCCAAGTATGCCATGGACCACCCCAAGAAAAGAAAATAAATTTGCCTTAGTGGCAAAGATCTCCAAATTGTTAGATGAGGTCATGAGTTCTACTCCATTATGGTACAAAAAAGTATTGTTTAATTTTTTGTCTAAATTTCTTTTGAGCCCCTCTCCCATAAACACATTATATTATATCTATATTACTATTTAGTCCACCCAAAATTCAAAATATACAAAAAAAGTCCTAACTTTTTTCTTTTTTTTAGTCACTCTCCCCAAAAAAAAATTATATTATATCTATATTATTATTTAGTCCACCCAAAATTCAAAATATACAAAAAAAGTCCTAAATTTTTTCTTGTTTTTTTAGCCCCTCTCCCCAAAAACGCATTATATTATATCTATATTATTATTTAGTCCACCCAAAATTCAAAATATACAAAAAAAGTACCAATTTTTTTCTTCTCCTAATTTATCCAAAAAAAAAAAAAAAGTTTGAATTTTTTTTCCCTTCTCCTAATTTATCCAACAAAAAAAGGTTCAAATTTTTTTCCGGGGGCGCTGCCCCCGAACTCCCAAAAATTTAACTCCACTATACAGTAAATTCTTGGACTCGGCACACCCTGAATTTTCGTCCTGGATCCGCCACTGCCGGCATGTAACCTCCATATTCACAGTCCGGTTTAGGTTCACTCAACATTTGAACCTGAATCGCAGGTTTCAGTGAGGTCTAATCAGTAAGAGACTAGTAGTATGAATTGAAGGGTAAAATAGTCATTTTATTATTTAAATTCCATACAAGGAAGTATTAACTAAATTGCCATTCAACCAATATGGATTTCCATAAAATAAAAATAATAAGGATTATGATTCCATGATTTCAAAATGAGTAAATTACGGCCAACTCCCTAAGGTAAACTTAAATTACGAGGGAAAAAAAACTACTCTCGTTTGGACAATTACAAGTTACAACCATTCTCATCAACTATGAATTTTCTTACACGTCAAATTCAACATAATATTATAGATTACGTTAATGTTCTCTAGTTTGTACTCGTTTCGTGCAAAAATGCATTTTCGAATGCACAGCAGTCTGATATTTACAAGCCAATAGATACATGTTATGATCATCTTGTTTCAAAATATGGAACTCAATTGGGATAAAACATGTATAAAGTTGATAACATTCCATGTAATTTAGAAAGTTCCAATAAATTTAACACCGCATAGACGGACGTGTAAGAAAATTTATAACTGAGGATTGGTTGTAATTAATTACCCAAACAAGAGAATTTTTTTCGTAATTTGAACTTTACTCAGGGGTATTACCGTAATTTACCCCTTTTCAAAATTGGCTCCAATTTATTAAATTCTACACCGATAAGAAACCAATCAACGGCTATATAATGGGCCCACTCCTTTTGTCCTCAATCTCAGCAGCACATACATTTTCCACTCAATTTTCCCTTTTCAATTTCTATAACTAAAATGAAAAATCCATCTTCCTTTTTGTTCCTCCCAAGAAACCCATTCCCCATTAATCCACCACAGCTTTGCTTCGCTGCCATTGTTAAAGAAATAAAGAACCCCCTTTAAGCTCAGACCTCATTATTTTCACTGTCGGAAAGAAACCCTAATTTTCTGGGCTTTTATTGCTTTGTGGGCAGCAGAGCTCTGTTATTAATGGCGATGGAGGCCAAGAATTTAGGTTTTTTCAACTGGGTTTCTCTCTCTAGTATTCTCATACTAGCACCTCTTGTTTGCTCCAAGAATCATGGTAATTTCGTAATTTATGGCTGCCCTTTTTTTTTTTTTTGCAATTATACTAATTAATCTTATTCCCTTGCAGCATTTAAGTTTTACTTTAGGACAATGGTAATTTTGTAATATTTGACAATGTATGTTTTGAGGGTCTCATATATGTAACTTGAGATTAATTTGTTAGTTTTTTAATTATGATCAATTAAGCATTTAAGAGTTATCAATTAGTTATCGAAGAAGAGCATATTGTCGTGGCATATGTACTCCGATCCCTTCGATCGACCGTTTCTTTTTAGTCGTTTTTTTATCAGTAAAAGTATTATTTCAGATTAACTGTCGTTTTACAATTCCAACGATGAACAAGTTTGTTTTTATCCAACTATACCCTAATTGAGGTGTTTATAACGAGTTTCGGAAAATTATTGGCCTATTGAACTTGTTTGCCCTTGATTTTTTGCGGTTACCATGTTCGATTTGAAAAAAGATCATTTCACTAATAGTAATCGAAAAAAGTGTCTCTCTATAGATTAATATCCGCACATCTTATTATATGATGCTCAATGATGGTGTTTCTTGAATATTGCTATTTCTTCCATGTTTATAGGAAACGCTGCAAACGATCTACTCGAGATCATTAACAAGAATCGAACGGCCCAAAACCTCCCTAACGTAACCGAAAATCGAGGGCTAGGATGCATCGCTCTGCAGTACGCTCAACAATGCAGAGGAAACTGCACAAGCAACAATACTCTACATTGCCATGCGCAAGAAGACGACTTCACCGAAATCTTCGCTCCAAATTGTGGAGTTGAACTCCCGACTTTCGGGTCCATATCGGGAACCGTCTTAGGGTGCCAACAAAAATATTTACACCCACAAGAAGCGTTCTCGAGTTTACTATTTCCAGGTCCAAAAAAACTATCTCTAGTAAAAAACGGGAGTTTTACGCAAGTTGGAGTGGGGATAATCGGGGGGAGAAAAAAGGGTAAAGGGCCTTACATTTGGTGCGTTTTGTTTAGTGATAGTAAAGGGAGAAACGCTACGACTTTTGTTCTTGAAGATGTTGGTAAAGGGATTGAGCAAAAGAGTGGGTGTTATAGTGGAACTAGCTTCGATTGTAGTCAAGGAGACAAGCGTTTCGATGTGGTGAGAAAATTGTTGGTACTTTTGATGTTCGTTAGTTTATCGGTTCAATTTTTCGATCTTTTATAGGTTTTGTTGAACGTGTGAAAAAAGTCGAATTTATATCGAAGATATGAATGGATTCTCTATTTAAGCACGTGAACTTGTCTCTATTTTAGACTGTCATTTTGCTGGTACTAATACAATGGAAGTGTTTAAGGTGATGTATATGTGCCATTTGTGCAATTGGAATAGATTTTCCGGATTTCGTCGATTCCTATTCGAAAAGTTTCGATTTTGGAACAATTTTGCTCATTCCATTTTTGGGTCCGCTTTTATTTCCAAAGAACAGTTCTTTTTTTTTTCTTCTGAAAATTAAGTATTTATAATATCAATTTATTAAGTATTTTATTTTATGAGTGAATAAAAAATATAACCTTTTATTTTATTATTGTTGGTTCCCATCTAATTATTTTTTATTATGCAACAAGTTTTTCGAATAAAAACTATGAAATTTCAATCGTTGATTTTCCAAATTTTTGTGTTATGAAATTGAAGTAGTTTTTCATTTTATAAAAAAGAAAAAGTTCTAATTCAATTCACATTTGTCCGATTTACATCTCTAGTTGTGATTTACATCTCTAGTTGTGCTGCTGCTCGTTGACTTTGCAAGAAAACATTTATAACTAACTATATTGTTAAATAGGTTAAAAAATATCATTTCTCCTATGTTGTTTACTTCTTCAGATAAAATTTTCAGGCTACGGTCATTCATAAATCTTGTTGGCTTACATAATCCCAAAAACAGTTTCATTGTTGATGATTGTTGCACTCTACAAGTGGAAATTTCTATGCAACTTGTTGTGTAGTAAAACTTAATAATACGTTTCGTATATCATCTACAAATAATTCATTTTTCACTAAAGAAACAATGAAGATGTGGCATAGACTACACTTATTGCGAGTTTAGTTCCAAGTTTGATATTTGATTGTTGAATCAAATTTTGTTTTATTGACAATAGTATGTTATGATTGACCCCATTTACCATGATCTTATGTCATTAGCAATAACATGGTTGTGCACATTTCACAAATTTTGTGTTTACAAGGTTTGTCTCGTTGGTTTCACAAATGAAATCATCCTTCTATTATACTTTTCCACCTTCTTAATGTACGGTGGGAATTGATTTAATCATTGGGAGTTCCTTTAATTTGTAGAGTACTACATAAACATTTTATTTTTAGGTACCTTCTAGGCTAGTTGGCAAGTATAATGAATATCTAAGTAGAACGGAAAATTTTCTAAAAAGTAATAGAAATATCTTAAATTTGGCGACAAGTTCTTATATATTTTTTAAAAATTCCTACTTAAAAATGGTCGATTTGGCGTTTGTCTCTTCGGTTATTTTTTTTATCAAGTGAGAACAACTTTGGTCCAAATATCATAAATTTTGGCCCAATATATTATATTGTGATGGGCAAAATACACTTTACCTACTATGTCCTATGTAATACTTACCCCTTGTATTATGAAAAATACACTTACCCCCTATTTTAATGGTAGTAAAATAAATTTAATATATTTTTATTCTTACTAAACGACACATTTTCTTTACTTAAAAAAATATTACATGTACTATGAAAATATTAAATAAATATTTAAGATAGCAATTCTTTTTTAAAATTCGGATTAAATATAATTTACTTGTTAAATATTTATTTTAAAAAAATAATATTTAAACAGTATTATTTTTCATGTATTATTTTATACAACCAAGTAGCAAGTATATTTTTTCATATTCTGAGTTAAATTATTTAACTCGTTAAACATTGTGTACATTGAATTTTAACATTTATTTGTAACATTACATTTCGTATAGTTAATCCTAAATGTAAAAGGCTTAAATGAAATTTGATGTTACAAATAAATAAAATAAATTATTAGCATATATCGTTAAAAAAACACTACCGTAGAATTACAATTTTTAATATAAATATCTAATGATTAAATATTTTAATCCTATATGTAAAATTTTATACATGTTAAATACTTATTTAATATAGTTATCCACAATAAAAAAATATTTTTTTTAATAAAAATTAGGTGTCCTTTCTTATGAATTATTAAAAAATATATTGAATTGAAAAAGTAATAATATTTTTCTTATTTAAATTTAAAAAATATTATTATCTTAAATATTTATTTAATTTATTCATAGTACATATATTATGTTTTTAAATAAAAAATTTGTTATTTAGTAAGAATTATTAAAAATATATTAAATTTATTTTACTACTAACACTGTTAAAAGTCAAATAGGTTGACCATTAAAATAGGGGGGTAAGTGTATTTTCCATAGTACAAGGGGGTAAGTGTTACATAGGACATAGTACAAGGGGGTAAAGTGTATTTTGCCCTATTGTGACACTTCAACCTCGTTTCATATTATTTAAAGTTATTTATTATTATATATTATTTTAAAAATGTCTTATCTATTAAAATAGACATTTTAAAATTTTGAAAGTTAACTTCTCGGATTTCAAATTAGAATTGGATTTTGATTGCATTTCTTGAAAATTTTAATTCGTGTGCATCTACATGAAGTGACTTCACCGAAATCTTTGCTCCAAAATGTGGCGTTAATCTCACGACTTTCGGGTCCACAATGGGATCCATTTTGGGGTGCCAACAAAAATATCTCAATCCACAAGAACGCTTCTTGAATCTACTATTTCCATGTCGAAAAACACCCTCTCTAATGAAAAACGAGACTTTCACCGAAGTGGGAATGGGTATGAGCGTTTCATTTGGAATTAAATACGAAAAATGGATGAAAGTGATTGAAATCATATTATAAGGAGTATTTTAGGAAAAATATTGAGAATGAGTTTATTTGTGAAACTGTTTTTGCTACGAACATAAGCGCATTTTAGTCGTCCTCCTTGAATTTATATGCAAATCGTCCTTCTCTAATACAACTATGTGGGAAAAAAAAATTACAAATAGGGGAAATATGCAATAACCCCCTCAAATGAAAAATATTTAGAACTAAACCCAATTGACTTTAAAGACTTTTTTCAAAACCCAAATGTCAATTTAAATTAGTGAGACCCCCCTTAAAAATATATTATCCCTATTTTACCCTTTTAATACACATCCCAACCCTAGATCTCAAACCCACAATCTCTCTTTATTTCTCGTTATTCTTCTCCCAGCCTACCATCAACATCAAACCCACAATTCTCGTTTTTCTCTCTCTCTCAATTTATGTATCTATCTCCTTTCGATCTCTCTCGGCGTCGGCGACGGGAGGCTGACGATGGCGGCCGGAGAAGGTGCGATTGCTAGGCAAGTGCACGCAAATCGATGAACGGTGGAGAAACGGCGACGACGCGGGAGGCGATGGAGAAAGCGGCGGCGGCGAAATTCTGATCTGAGGGCGCAACCGCAGTTGTGGAGTTCTCCACGCCGGCGCTGCCGCCACTGCCTCGAAGATTCGAGTCTACTTTGTGAAAAAGTGCAGAATCAGCCATGTGGTGTCATGTATTTAATTTCTTCTCTTTTAGCTTTTATTTTCTGCAAATGAGTTTGATTTCAAGTTGCAATTGAAATTGAAAGGGAAAAGAGATACGTTTTATTTATTTATTTATTTATTTATTTTTCTCCAGATCTGTACATAGAGTTTCAGATTAAACATGACTATAGTCATGTTCGAATATGACTATTGTTGAATATGACTGTAGTCATATTCGAATATGTTCTATCTGCTCGTTTCAAATTATGTTTTTCTGTGTGGATGTTGATTGGATTGTTTTCGTAAACAATAGGGAATCCTGGTTGTTTATATAGTTTGGTAAACATGACTTACCACACTATACAAATCTGGAAAATTGGTGTTTTCTCTACTTCTATGAATTTCAAATTTTCTTTCGAGTTGTAATCTCTAATAATTAGTGTTTTGTCTGAATGATTGGATAGTAACAAGGTTAAAAAAATGGTGGTTGAGCCCTGGTTGTGGAGGAAGAGGTAAATAATATGATGATTTAATTGGGGTTGGGGCGTTTCGAACGGAAACGGGATATAATAGTACGCGAAAAATTATTGGATGACATCAAGAAATTGAAAACCAGGCTATATCAGCTAAATGGATTCTACAAATAATAAAACAAGTACTCACAGCCCTCTTGCAAAAGATAGGCATTCAGGCAAGTTTGTTTATAATTATTTTCGATGTTTCGTTATTTTTTTTCTTCTTTTTTTTGAATTCTGATCGTAAAATCGGCCTTTTTCGATTGTGTTTCGTTTGTTTTTGTGGTGATAATATAGATATGGAATTGATGAAGGAGAAGTTTGCAAAGTTGCTTCTAAGAGAGGATATGTCAGGTGGAGGGAAAGGTGTTCCGTCGGCTTCGGCGTTGTCGAATGCAATTACGAATTTAGCAGGTATCTCAATTTTTTTACCTTAATCTTTATAAAAATAATTTGAGCAGCATCGAGAATGTTGAAAATTATGAAGGAAATGATTTTTTTTCTTTTTTTTTGTATGTAGTAATATGTTTATGTGAATGAATGTTTAGCATCTGCATTTTTTTTTTCTTTTTTTCTCATTGCCTTTTGTTTTATGACTTTGAGTTTGGTTCATATAGATTTGCTTCTTGTTGCTGCAATTTTGATGGAATTTGCCCCACAATCTTCAAGAGGAATTAACAAGGACATTCCCGAGCATTCCGAAAAACTATCTCCCATCAAGAATTAACAGTAACATGACTATAGTCATATTCGAATATGACTATTGTTGAATGTGACTGTAGTCATATTCGAATATGTTATATCTTCTTATTCAAGATGATTTGTAATAATAAGATTCAAATTGTATTTTTTATGGATGTTGATTGGATTGTTTTCGTGCAATTTTTGTTTGTTTTATATAATTTGGTTAAAATGACTGTACTATACTATATAATCGAAATTATTAAGTTGAAAATGTAAAAACGACAATATAAAGAAAGAATATGACTACAGTTGATATAGTCACATATAGTCATATTAGACTATAGTCATATTCAACTATAGTCATATTCGGCATAGTAAAATTATCGGGGGGAAATTCAATTTTTCGTTTAAAAAGAATTTATAAAAATTATTATAATATATATATATATATATATATATATATATATATATATATATATATATATATATATATATATATATATATATATATATATATATATATATATATGAATGAGTGAGAGAGTGTGTGAGTGAGAGAGATATATATATATATATATATATATATATATATATATATATATATATATCTCTCTCTCTCTCTCTCTCTCTCTCTCTCTCTCTCTCTCTCTATATATATATAT